AAATTGCACATTTTTTTTATTTATTACATTGGTAAAGGATGTTTTATGGATGAAATAAATGTGAATGGTTGTATACACTACGAATGGTGTGACCTAATTTAAAACAATATACCTACATCATTTTTGAAATTATTTATTTACAAAAATATAAAGAAACGAAGTTAGAAATAAGGGAAGTCACATAGGTACTTTACTAATAAACAAAAAAACATCTATAAGAAAAAAAAAAGATAAAGTGGTAAATTAATAAAGCAAAACTATCACAAATTAAATTGCATTAACGACATAGTAAAATGTTTTTTAAAATAGGTAAATACTTAAAACTTAAAGTAGGCGCTAAGAATATATTCTTTATTATCTTTTTCTGTTTTTCTTTTTATTATTATGACTTCTAAGATATACTCAGGATATTTTATTAGCATGTTTCTAGTCTTTCGTGAATCGATTATTTCAGGAATCCTACAATCGAAGTAAATATATCGTAGAAAAGGCTCCATCTTATTTAACTAAAATTATGTATCCCTTACGATTGTTTCCGTTTTCAAACTGTGTATCGAGTTATGTGTACTTGTCCTTGAACTTGATAGTACCATTTGTAGTTTTATTCATTTCGTTGTTTTGCCAAAAAAAGTTATATTTTTGGTTTAAATTCCTTGTTCTGGGGTCATTTGCCTTGCAAAATAAGGAAATTGTATTTTAACTGGACCTCTATCTTCGATAAGATCATCTGGGGTTGCTACAAAAAAAAAGGCTGTTAGATATCAATAAAAAGACCACAAGGATCTATAGTTTTACTAGTTATTTTTTATAATTGCTTCCTAGAATTTTCTTTATTTATTTTTGCCGTAGTAATAAGTTGCCGAATAAAAGCTTTTGATACAATATTGTATCCAAAAGTGATTGGCAGCTGTCGTTCTTTTCTTGCATACAATCCCAAAGAATGACGCTGTTAACCTCCTTCTTCTTTCAATGTACCATTAATCTGAGGCATGTTGGTCTCTAGGTAATTCTTCTAGTTCATTTACTTCTTCTGGAGTTTCCTTTTCTGAAAACTTTATAATCTCTATTGATTCATAACAAAATTTAGTTACCTTTTTGAATAGGTATGATATTTTCCCTTCTTTCTTCCACTGTTATTATAAATGAAACATGATGTAGTTCTATGTCGATAGCACTAATTGTTTGTCGACGGTTTCTAGATAAAGAGAGAGGGAGTTTCTTAATTACTTTTACACATAAAAATATTCCGCGGACTATTGCAACTCTCTCTGGATACATTTTGCTACATTATCTTGATTCTCCCCGATAATTCATCCCTTTTGGATAAAATATTTTTACTAGAAGTCTAACCTTTTTTCAGCAGCTGGAATAATTGTCCACAGCTCCTGTCGTCTAGGCTTCCTCATTTTTTTAATAGTTTTATTTTTTGCAAATAACACATTCCGTATCTTAAATACATACACTTAACGCATGTGGGGGGGATGAAGCCTATTGATTCTGAACAAAATCTGATTAAAAATGGGGGGTTAAAAGGGGGTTTGTTTAACTGCGAAGAGTATCATATAGAATGCCAAGCATTATATATATTCATTCTAGTCATTGAACAGCAATTAATACCCAGATAAGTCGAGACGTCGAGACGCGCGTCACGAGAACCATATCGCAAAAAGTTCATAACATACAAACTGTGAATCACAGACTAATATTTCTTTCTTAAAAAACTTTTCAAAACCTTTCTCTTCATTTGAATTGCTGCACATACCGGCATATTTTCAAAAATAAAAAAGTTGCATGTCGAAATTTACTCTGCATAAACGGTGTAAGATAGAAGTTTCAAATTATTTTCGACAAAAAAATATTTCGATATCTTAATTTATTTAGTACTGAGAGGCGCTCATGTTTCTACTTCAATTTAAAAAAAAAAATAAAATCGACAACTCAAATATTTGCTGAGATAATAATATGACGATCTATTGGTTAAAAACCAACTAACTGTATCATAAAAATGCAAAATTTTAAACTTTTCATAAATAAAAAAGTTCTGCATAGACCGAAAATTAAACAAGGAACAATCATATAGTTTTTATTTGGTTCTACGTTGAATAAGCGGTTTGGATTTACTCAACTACATGTATTCCACTCGGTTAAGTCCGGACCTGAATGTGCAGCGCTTAAATAGTGTTTGCGTTGTTAGTCGTCTTAAGTCGTTTCTCACTTTTAAGAATAGAGTCAGATATACCAAGAGGTTCACCCTCCTCGTGTCTCGGACCGCTCCCTCCTGAATATGCAATTGTTTAGCTCGAACGTTAGCTGCCTGTTAATACCCTGCTATAGCAGTAATCCTATTTTTCAGGTGGGTAAAACTTTATTTTTCTACTCCTATACTATAAGTTGTTAATTAAATGCTAATTTTCAGTTTCATAATGATACTCATTATAACACTGGTTTTCATTATGATACTGAAAAATTGACCAATAGAAATCTAGATTTTTAAATAACCAAGTAGGCAGACCCAATATTTTCTGTAGAATGTTTGACAGTTTTTAAGAGATTCGCGTTTTATGACAGTTTCAATCTTTTAAGTTAGTCAAAAAGGTAGATAGGTACCTCTCACTTATTTTTAAAAAAATGTCGAACGACGAAGAGTTTTCATGCACACCACCTGAAATCGCTGAAAAGGCGGAAAATTTATTAAATTGGTTATTGTGTAGGAATAAAAATTAAGTCGAAGAACTTATTTTTCGTTCATATTTTATTTCTTATTGTTTGTATAAAAAAATACGGCAATGTTGTTGAATTGAAATAGTTTTTTGGTCATAGAAAAAATAGTGTATGCAACTTTTGTAATGGCTACTAATACATGAACGTTGCATAATATACTATTGATCATATATATTTATCGATATTTAAAACATTATAGTTACTTTCATCAAATATTTTTATGAATTTCGCTTACACATTTAATATAGGATTCAGAAAGTTATACAATAAAATTATAAAATAAATTATCAATTCACCTTCACAATAAATTATAGGTACTCGTAAAATGCGCAGAAAATTAATTTTGCGAATATCGATAATGAAAAAATTTAGATAAAACTTAAAATTATAAATATACGAGTATACATTTTTAGTATTCATGTATCATTAACCATCCGAAACAAACCCAAAAGCGTGCATAATCGGGTCTTTACCGCTTCGATAAATAAGATTAGATTATGCCAGATTTTATTTTGAATTGTCAAATTAATTAAATTGTTTACAACTTTACCTAAAAAGAAGTAACTTGAATAGAAACGTATTGTCTGGATCCTGACTGAAAAACTTACGTAAATCTTCCGTAAAAACTAAAGATTTTTTAACTTTCTAACCTTTGCTCGCTCCTTTCATAAACGAATGCAACTTGTGATTAGATACTAAATCTATTCCATTTTCAAACTTTATCATAGCTTGCTGTTTTGGATGAATACACGAAAGTGACGAAGATTTGTAAATTCTGGACATTTCCAACTTATACGCTAACATTATCGACTTACATTTTGAGTGTGCACCATCCATAATACTAACTTTTCATATTCCTTGTAGTATAAATGCTTGGATTTTACAGATAGGTAATAAATTTAACTCTGCTTCAGCCGCTAATTCTTCAATTTCCGACCACATTTTCAATACGTATAACAATGACGTTTAATAATTAAATGAAATGTCAAATGATATTTACCTACCCACTTGATAAAATGCATAGAAATTATTAATTTGAATTTTTCATTTAAAATGATTGTAGTTATTAGGTCTGTTCCAACAACGATCAGAAACCAGTAATCGACACCAGGATTCTGCGCAGTAGATTATTGGGACCGCCAACTTATCCACTGTTCAGAATCCTGGTGTCTGACTGGTTTGTGATCGTTGTTGGAACAGACCTATTACTTTTACTATTGTATTTACGCATTTATATTAAAAAATATCGTATGCCACTCCGCGGCGCGTCGTGGCCTTAAACTCGTTGCTCATGCTTTAAAGGCTCCATTATGCATTGGTGCCATAATATACTATTATAACTATTTATTCAATCAGGTTTTTATACATATTTTTGTAAGTCATTAACAAATTATGCCAGGTTACTATTTCAATAACACAATAACTATGCCACATTTTTCTATTTTCTTTGTTTTCATTTTAAACAATTAATTGATTACCAAATATATGATTATTTCACGATTATAATATATTGAAATAAACAAATTTTTTCTATCTTACTAATATATAAATGCGAAAGTTTGGATGGATATTCAATCACACAAGAACGGCTAAACGGATCTGGATGAAATTTGGCACAAAGCATAAATAAATATTGACGTGTTTCAGGGTTTTTGGATTTTCACATTTTAAGGGAGGGGTTAAAAGTTTGTATGAAAGTAACGATTTTTGTAAATGTAGGAACTTGAAAATTGTAATTATAGCTACTCATCACAAATAAATAATGGAATTTCAGGAATTTTCATATTTTAAGGGGGAAAGGGGAGAAGGGAAAGAAAGATAAGAAATGGAAAAAAAAGGGGGACAGGAGGAATAATTTGTATGGAGATATCGCTTTTTTTAAGGTAGAATATTTAAAATTATAATTGTGACGAATTATTATAAATAAATAGACATTAAGGGGGGAAACGGGAGATGAAAGTTTGTATGAGACAAGGTTTTTGAATTTTCACATTTTAAGGAGAGGGAGAGGGATAAATAATATATAAAAAGAAACAAAAAATAAATAAAAAAAATAAATAAAAATAAAAAATAGGTAAGAAAAATAAATAAAAATTAACAAACATTAATAAAAATTAAAAAAATTAATAAAAATTATTAAAAATTAATAATTAATAAAAGTTAATAAAAATAAATAAAAATTAATAAAATGGGGGTCTGTTAAACTGTGAAGAGTATGATATGGAATGCCAAGCATTATACATCTTCATTCTAGTTAATTCTTGCTTTTTCATTTTCAGTTTTTCGTTAACATTAATTGATACTCTCGATACTCTGGTGATACTTGGAGATCTTGAAGAATTTGAACATGCAGTCAAATTGGTTATTAAAGATGTTGCATTCGACAATGATGTTGTCGTATCTGTGTTTGAAACAAATATTCGAGTTATTGGGTAAGCAAATTATATTTTCTAGTTTTTTTTTTGTATATATTTATTTATCAGAATTAAAAATATTTTACATTAAATCAAGTTTTAGTAGATTCAAAAAGTGATTCAAATATTCCAGTGATAAGATAAATGACATTATATGTACTTTATATGAGGAACAATAGGTATACACCTACGATAAGTTTTCAATCAAATTTTTATTGAAAATAGTTTTTATTGTTAAATACATTTCAAATTTTGTAATCAGTTTAAGAACTTTCAAGCGATTTGATTCGGTTACGGGAAGGTTTAAGCTTTACTTTAGCCCTTATTGAGTCCTATAATTTAGGGTAAATTTTGTAATTTTATGTCATACGTGGGCTATGCTGACATTTTTAAATACAATGATATTTCTTGAATATTTAGAATAATTAATTTAATTATATTTTACAAAGAATAAATCTTAAAACTTGTCCTAAAAGTTTTTCAATGTTAAGCAAAGGATTGTAAATTTGTTATAAAAGGGAAATACAAAAATAGTAACAAATTTAATAACATGTTTTTGCTCTCTTTAGTGGATTATTATCAGCACATATCATGTCCGAATATTTACAACAAAGGGATGGGATAATGTCATGGTACAAAGGAGAACTTTTGGATATGGCTAAAGATGTTGGTTATAGGCTCTTGCCAGCATTTAACACAACTACTGGAATACCTCATTCTAGGGTAAATTGATTTACTACTGTTATACTATGACAACCATGACTATTTTTTATATTGTAGGTAAATATGAAATATGGTTTAAAGAGTGATAGACTTGAATCCGCACGGGAAACTTGTACAGCTTGTGCGGGATCTATGATTCTAGAAATGGCCGCACTTTCGCGTATAACAGGCGAACCAGTTTTTGAATTGAAGGCCCAAAAGGCGATGGATGAATTATGGAAGATGCGGCATCGCAGCTCTGATCTCATGGGTAAATATTACATAAATTACAAATTATTGATAATTAACAACGTGTGTTTTGTTGGCCCTCTGTAATAAATATTAAAATTCAGAGATGTTTAAAACACTTTAATTTGGTTTCTTAAACACTGAATAAATATTTAAATAAATTAAAAACAGGAAGAGTTATACATATACCCTGTCTGTGTCTACGAAAGTAGACTGCATATGGAAATTTTTTTATTAGTTTTATCAAAAAAAATGTATTTTTCATAAAAAATTAGCATGGTCTATAACCTAAAATACAACCATCGGATATCAAATTTTATGAGACAAAAAAATATATTTTTGATCAAAAGTATAGTACATTAATTTTTGACAAACCTCGTCGTATACGACTCATAAAATTTGATATCTAATGGTTGTATTTTTGGTTTTAGACCATGCACAATTTTGTATGAAGAATATTTTTTTTTTCTAAAATAAATAATAAAAAAGTATTTCATATGGCGCCAATTGTCTAAGTACGTTAGAGGCATATGGAAAACTTTTTTATATCTAATACATTATTGTAGGTCCTGTAGAATTTGTTAAATTATATTTATCATGGTAAATTAGACCATATCTCGCTTTTTTCTTTTTCTACAAGATGCTGTCTGCTTTATGCATTCGACCTTCTTTCATTGGACTTCTAGTTTTATTATCTTATCCAATATATTCATTATAATTAAGTTCAATATCTGCAGTCTAGCAAGGTCGACCACGGTTAGTACTTGGATGCGTGACCACTTGAATAAACGTAGTCTTATATCAGAGTATGCTAATATAATTTTACCTGCAAAGTGCTTGTTTATTAAGAATATAATTGACTTCTGTTCCTTCATATATATGTTGAAATCATCATTGAGGATTTTTCTGAGTAGATATTCAATATACATTGTTATCTTACACCTTATTCTATTTTTAAATCTGTCAAGTCAGCATCTTGTAATCGGTTCAGATGAAAACAAAAAACATAATACACCTACCCAGACAACACACCAAATCCCAGAGATATTCACAGAATATCTTTTGTGGATATCCAATATATCCACAGGATATCTGAAATATCCCGTGGATCTAATATGGATATCCAAATGTCCGTCTATATCCAGAATATAGAAGATATCCTATGGATATCCAGCAAAATATCTAATGGGTATCTTCCAGACAATACAAGAAATCCCTGAGATATCCACAGAATATATTTTGTGGATATCCAATATATCCAGTAGATCTAATATGGATATCCAAATGTCCGTCTATATCCCAGGATATAGAAGATATTCGGATATTCAGCAAAATATTTTATGGGTATCTTTAGTAGAGGTTCATAAGTAACCAATGATTATTGAATAACGTCGAAAGAAAATAGCAGAGATAAAAAATATTTTCAACACTCAAAATATTTTCAACACTCTGCCTTTGATTTTGCCCACTAAGGAGAAAGTCATCTTTATTAGGACTCTTCAGCAATAAATGGAAATTCTCGACTCCAGTCTCTAATGGAGTCTGATTGCGATACCAATTTCGATCGAACTCAGTTACGGCGGGTTGAGCATGAGTAGATATTCAACGAGCGAAAGTGGTATCGCCATCTATACTTAGTAAGCAAAATCAAAAATTACATCTAGTGGATATCCACCATGGTTTGCGTTCGCGCCTAGACTTTGATATATTTAGTGATGCCCATGGGATATTGAATACACCTTAAAAAAAATTAATTTTAAATATCTGAATGGTACTATTAGCCACAATGGCGAGCACAATAGCGTAATTTTTAATAATTTGCTATATAATTACTATTATTTATGGACATTTGCATATCTATAAATTACATGGATATAAAATAGATATCCACCATGGACTGGACATTAGGTGGATATTGGGATGTCCAGTAGATATCCAAAGGATTTGGTGTGGTGTCTGGGTAAATGATTTTTTTTTTTTGCAAAAATGTTATCTTTTTCCAGGCACAGTTTTAAACGTTCATTCTGGTGATTGGGTAAGAAGGGATTCTGGAGTTGGAGCAGGAATAGATTCCTACTACGAATATTGCTTAAAAGCGTACATACTTTTGGGTGATAATAAATACTTGAGTAGATTCAATAGGCATTACAATGCCGTTATGAAGTATATTTCACAAGGACCTATGTTGTTAGATGTACATATGCACAGGTAGGAAATTAATTTTTAACAAAATAAAATAAAGCTTTAGATTAAAATATAACTACGTAAAAATCATACAAGTAATGTAAAAAATTAAAGTAAATCTAAACTAATTTGCCTAACGAGTGCGGCCTAGTGCATTATAAAATTAAATATAATATAAAAAAAAATATTGCAGAGTATCAAGACTTGGACTCTCAAAACTTTTGCTTCATATATATTTTTTCAGATGATACAAATAATGAAAATGACATTTTTTTTAATTAAGGGTTTATTATTATTTAAAAAATCACTGGTATTTTGACTTTTTCTATAATTTCAATATATGTGTCAATTATTACATATTTTTACGATACTTTCATTAATTAGCGATATTTTACAACACGTATATTGTATCACCTGGTTTAATGTTCATTTTTTAAACTTTTATAACTCTGCTGTATATTTTTCTTTATGAACTTCGGCTACATTGTTATCATTATCTCAATCTAACATTTTGGATATTTGATATTAAATAAAAGCATGTATATGTCAAAATTTTAAATTGAGCACCTGATTATCTAAACTATTTTTTTATTATTAAACAATAGGCACATATATTTTTGTGCTAACACCATCTTCAGAGGAGTTCAAAGTTTTTACAACTATTTATCGTTTTAGACCACACACAAACTCTAGAAATTATATGGACGCCCTTTTGGCTTTTTGGCCGGGCTTGCAGGTATTAAAGGGCGACATCAAACCGGCAGTTGAAACACACGAAATGCTCTATCAAGTAATGCAACGGCATAAATTTATTCCCGAAGCTTTCACTACCGATTTCCAAGTCCATTGGGGCAATCACCCGCTGCGTCCCGAATTTCTAGAATCTACTTATTTTCTGTATACAGCTACCAGTGATCCATACTATTTAGAAGTGAGTTATTGCTTGGTTTGGCAAATGTCGCATTATAAATAATGTTTGTAGGTAGGTAAACACGTTCTGAAGAGTCTACAGAAATACGCCAGAGTGCCTTGCGGCTATGCCGCCGTCAATGATGTCAGAACTGGTAAAAAAGAAGATCGTATGGATTCTTTCGTATTAGCGGAAACTTTTAAGTATCTCTATTTGCTGTTTGCCGATAAGGATGATCTCATTTTAAATTTGGACGAGTTTCTGTTTACCACTGAGGGCCATCTGTTGCCGCTGAGTCTTTCAGGACGTTCAAGTAATGGTAAGAGTTTTTTTTTGTTCTATCCCTTTGTAAACTCCTTTTAAAAACAGGAATAAATTTTATATAAATAACAATATCCTTGGTTTATTCGGTCAAGTTTTTATTTTCTATCATTTAGGACAGCACTACATATGTTATGGAAAAATTTCCATCTTCGGGTGCAGTCAATATTTAATAAAATATGGGGATGATTACAAATAGTTTAAACTTTTTTAAAATAACAGAAACCCCATCTTTCTGTTTCAGCTTGTGAAGGAATACACCTTCACAGGCTAAAATATATATCATCTATTGTTTTTCTTCTAAAAAGCCTTCAACTTCAAAAACTACTTACCTAAACCCCATACTTTTTAGCAGCCTCTATAAAGAAGTTTTATTTCCTGTTAATTCAGGTAGAACAGTTTGTACCTTGTGAAGAGTACCTAGAAAAATATATATTCCTTAATAAAAAAAATATTTTTCTATAAAAATTATAAAAAATCGTTCGAACTTAAAAAAAATTTCCGTTTAAAAGTGAACTGACAGATGTTTCTTGTGAATAATTTTAGTATGTGTCAATGGTACAATATAAAAAACACTTAATACAAAAATAACTTTTATTTCTATCAAACTTACATTTTAAACTAGGAGCCCTTTTCTCCAGGATGTAAAAATCATAAATGATTTCCCGAATCATTTTCAGTTCTCCAAGTTTTAGTGCTTCCAGTACAGATTTTTTTCCTCAGTCTCTTTTTTCGAGGAGTCCAAAGGAAGGAGAGACTCCTCTTTCAATATCTAAGGCTTTTTAAATCTAGTATAAGCACTTTTACTTGCACCAGTTGCTTTTAGAGTTCGCTCTCTGCAATTTAAGAATATAGGTATTAAAAATCAGCAATATTTACATTGTATGGTTGTGGAAATACTCCTAGTTCCTAAACTGTAGTTTGAAATTAAATTATGGCTAAAAACAAATAAAATTACTAAGAGATGAAGCGAGAAGGTATTTAAAGTGTGTAAATATTGTTTTATTTAATAAAACTCCATAAAATAATTCGTCTGAGCGCTTTCGGTCTCTTAAGCCATCATCAAAGATTTCGTCAAAAAACTTTAGAAGAAACATGAAAAAACTAAATTAATAAAGGGCAGCAACTGACCAGTCCCAAGCCTCCACCATAGCTTGCAGCTTAATTAATTCAGAATCCAAACCGAAATTCGTTAACTGACTCAGTGTAAAATGTGAGGCCAGGTGGTTAGTTTTTAACAAAGAAAGTGGAGGTTCATCCGACCATGTAGAACTAAATCATGCTGATACGGAGTTCTCCGTATCAGCATGGTTTAGTTTCAAAATAACCGACGATTTTGTAAAGGAATTTGAATGCTATCTTCAGCTTCTGCTTGCATAAAAGAGGGACATTTTTTATAATCTGCAGACCCTTGACTATGAATAATTTTTCCTTTTAAACCAACAAGTTTTTTAGGAGGCATGTTTTTAGATTAAATAAAACACACAACACTCACTTATAAAATTCTTAAAATAGTCGAAAATCAAAAAATATTTAACAAATAAACGGTTCCAAAGACAACCTCAAATGTCAAACGCTAACGTCGCTAACAAATAAATAAATGGCTGGCAGTATTGGCATAAAAATATTCGTTCTACGCGAGTGGCGTGACACTGTCGTTACTAAGCGACGTAGGTAAACAAGACATAAGTTGGTTTCTGCGACTGTCATTGTTGCAACTTCAGCTGAGTTATTCTCTCCTGAAACGGAGTCTCTATCACATCCAAAATTTACTAAGTCATTTAACAAAAGCTACTTATGCAATTAGACAATTAAAATTTTATTTAGACATTGTACATTTAAAAATGGTCTACTTTTCATTATTTCATAGCATTTATGACTTATGGTGTTATACTTTGGGGAAATACAAGTAACCAACTATTTCATTTATTGCACAAAAAAAGTAATACGTATTATGACATCGAGTAGCTACAACAGTCACTGCCAACCTATTTTTAAACAGTTAGTTATCTTACCACTAGCGTGTTGCTTTATTTTTGAGTGTATTTTATACATAAAAAAAAATTGGCAACAACAATTTTATAAGACAGGGCTCTAAACATTCTTATTGTACTAGAACAAATTATGATATATCTCTACCAGAGCTGGGGAGGATTCGAACCCTTTTTGAGGATCCGAGAGCGGTATTCGAATACTAAAGCAAAAAGGGACCCGTGATCCGGATTCGCCGAGGAAATCCTAAAGGGTTCGTATTCGAATCATCAATATTAGTCTCGGATCCTTTTAGAGACCAAACTACGCCGGCGCTCACGGTCGGCTCAAACTTTGACTTGTCGCGAAGTGTAAACCGAAAACAGACTGAGACTAAAGACCGATTGTTAATATTTCGAAGATAAACGTAATAATCTACAAATTAGCAATGAACACCTAATATAAAAAAATACTAACATTTCATTCGTCTGGTGCAGTCGAACGATTATTTTCGTTTGCAGGTGTAACCGACGCACCTCTAAGGAACAGCATGACTAGGGTTGCCAGACGTCTCGTTTTAGGCGTAATTGTCCCGCTTTTTAACTTGGTATCACGTTAAAGTATGAAAATGTCCCGGTTTTCACCAAAATTCCACGCTTTTTTTACCGAAATTCCATGCTTTTTACTGGAATGCCACGCTCATTACTGGAATACCACGCTCCTTACTGGAATGCCACGCTCCTTACTGGAATGCCACGCTTTTTACTGGAATGCTACGCTTTTTAAATCGAAAATTAAAAATCGGGACAGATGAAAACTTTGAAATATTTTTTTTGTCTCTATTTTTTGAAATCTTGATCAATATTTATCTTTCTGTTTCTATGCCTTATATCTTTTTTATACTTTTATCATTGACATATGTAAAATATTTGTAATTTACATCAATCTATCTTGTCCTATTCCATTATCATCGGACAACTGTTCATCTTCACTGCCACATAAATCTGGAATATCAACAGTTTTGAGACCAAAAACCGTTTCGGATCCAGAGTTAGCTTTACTACAAATTATATATGGCCATAGAAAACACATGACATTTAACGGACAGGCATATAAGTTCAAATGCTATTTTTTACAAAAATCATAACTATACGCACTTACCTAAAAGTAGATAATTTTAGTTTTAGTAAATTTTCGTTTTTAGAGATTTTATGGCCATTAAAACAATGTAAACAATACGTCCTTATATGTGTTTGCTTGAGACTAAACAAAAAATTGCAAAATAAGAGCTAGAGGGCGACAATATTTTTCGAACGTAGAGAAGCGAGTGTGCCAAATATGGAATAGATTAAGTTGGCGGTTTAAAATCAGTATATGTATTTGAAAATAATATTTTTATCACATGTTCCAAATTGAGCATAGTATGCATTAAGGGGGTTAAAAACCAGAGCTAAAGTGCCAAAGTGCAATTCTACATTCGCTGTTCCGGTAAAACAACGACGCAAATGCAAAATTATAAATTTTTCAGGAGAGACGAAAAACGAATATTATTACTTCCAAATTTGAGCACATAAATCACAAAGAACTTGTCCTAAATAGCAAATACAACATTTAACCATAGACTAAGTAATGTCTCCCTTAAATTTGCAGACACAACTGATTCATATGTCATTGTTTTTCAAAAGTGGAGGGGCAAACATTAATATTTGAAAATTGAAGTAACTACCATTTAGATGGCCGGGAGTGGATAAAAATTTTTGCCGTTGTTATACCGTATAGAGAGACTAATTTGGAAACTAATGACATGTTAAAATCAAAATGTCACAATTTTGCACTTGCGTCCTTGTTTTACCGGAACGGCGAATATTTTTCTAAGCATCCAGCTGAAATATTTCTAATTTTATTAGATATTTTTAAAATCTAAGAATTACGATAAAGAAATATTTGAGAAATATATTTGTCAAAAAACGATCAAACTAGAGATTTTCTACCTATTCCTGTAATTTCTTAGTAATTTTTAAATTTGTTTTTGTCTCATTGCGTTTCATTTTATAATGATATCCCGTTGCCTTAATCTACTTTTACGGAAATTTAATGATTTGTAGGAAGCAAAAATTTGGACGTTGAAGCGGACGATTTTGAATTTGATCGAACTTGTCCAAACACGTTACGCTTGTTTCCCGAATCATTTAGAAAACCGTTACAAAATATGGTAGATGGAATGTGCCCGAAACGGTCTCAAAAACGAAGACTGACAGCCCTGGAATTTTCGCCCGGCAATTTAAATCACTTAAAGATCATCAAAGATATGGGAATAAATATCGTTGCATTGAATGATGGAAGAGTACAATTGCTTCATACTTTTTCAGCGGTAAGTTCAACATTTTTCAATGGGCGAATATTATTAATTTTTCAAGTGAATATGCACACTGGATTAAATATACAAAATATAATATATTGCGTGGAAATTAGTATGGCAAATTATTACTCTTCTCTTGTCAAAAAAAAAACTAGTTCTTTGCAAGCATTTCTAATAGTTTATTACAGTCCAGACTAAAGTTCGTTATTGAATTATTCAGACACATTTTGATTACTGCTTTTCTGTTATCTTTCGTTATTAATTTAAATCTAACTGCCCAGTTACAAAACCTGCGAAATCTCGGTATGATAATAATTATTCTAAAAAATAATAGATTAACAACTATATCAGTCATCTTAAATTATTTGTAATGGATTTCGGTTTATGAAAGGTTATATTAGCTAAAAATGGTTTTTATACAGTACGATAACCGACTTATCAAGCAAAATAAAGATGATATACTTAATATAGAAAGTTAAAATAATATAAGTTAATTTTTGGTGATATTAGCTCGGTCGTTAATTCAAGCTCCATTCTCTCTTTAAACTCCAAACGACCCTCTTTGGGTTTGTTTATCCCGATTAGTCACAGTTCAACACGCTTAAGTGAAACTTCAAAAGTCTAAAAAATGCCTTTGTCCCACTCCAACTCCTGAAAAACTGAACCCATCTAATCGCCAAAAATTGACTTGTGTCCTTTTACCTTTTAACCACAGAATTGTATTTGATGTGAGACAAATAAAAAGAACATCTTGGTTTAACCTTGCCCTTTCGATCACAAGGATGGGATATTGTGTTCCACAATCGGGGTCGTATTACTCATTCTGTCTATTCAATAGCATTGTGTTTCTATACCGTTTTACAGGAGTCAGTATTGGAAAGTTAACATTCTGTATAACATATTAAATAATTTAGCTCTTATCATATTTTCAAGAGTTTATTAATTTCAATGTGAATGAATGTTCATAACTATACCATGAGACATAATAACCATTTACATATTGTCAAAATAAATGAGCGCAACTGTATGAATTCGCTGTTTTTTAAAGCCTTCGACCATTATAATAGATTGTCTAATAAAATTAAATTTAGTTCATCCTTTGATTAATGATCTAAGACTTCATCAATTAGAGTTTTTAAAAACAATTAATGGAACATATCAAAAGAAGGAAATATTTTGTTTTTGGAGACATGTATTTTTTTATATTTTTCTAACTCAATTTGAGATGTTCATTAATTCTAATCTGATTTTTTCCTATATTGTTTGTATACATATATGTTTTTTATTGTATTTTAATATTTGATCCATTATCTTTTTTATTAGCTTGTTAGGTTTACCTATGTCTTCAATAAAGTTATTATTATTATTGTTATTATCATTTAACAAATATTTTAGGCCCGTTCTGCCGCCGATGCCGAAGAAGGTGCGCTCTTCATGCAGGAAATGATCGATTTCTCCAAACTCGATTTCCAACAGTCCGAACCGGCCGCTCAAGCGGTTACAGTTCACATGAAAGACGACAAAGGCGATGACCAGGTGATAATCATGAATGCGGGTCCCAGCCAATTCGGTAGACATTTGAAAGGTGATCAGCAAGTGAAAGCGCCGGCTGTGTTAATCAAACCGTCACGCGGTTGTGATGATGTGTTGATGGAGCCCACGGCTATTTCTGGAAAGATAGCAATAATGGAGAGAGGAGAATGTATGTTTGTTAATAAGGTAAATGTTTAAATTGATTAATATCCTATATTTTAATAGTTAACATGATAATTTGTTGGTTGTACGTGAATTGTGTGTTAATCAAGGTCTTAGAATTAATTCTAGGCAGTCACTAGTTTTAAACTGTCTTAGATGAAAAAATCATTATATTAAAGGTGGGAAAAGAAAGAAAACATGTCCTTTATATCTCACAAAGAATATATGTGAGATATAAAGGACCTGTTTTTTTTTTCTTTTTCCCACCTTTAATCCATAAACTCACACATGGCTACCCCAAGTTTGAATCATTATATGGTCAACTTGTGTTAAAACTTTGGGACTTATATGAATGGCAATTTGAATTTTAATGAACATGTCAATCAATGAGTAGGCATTTCATGCTTAACATTAAAATCAATTTAATATTTTACATTTCGCTTCTTCAGAAGAACAATGACACAAGTTAAAATTAATGATTCCACAGAAATTGCAAATTATAAAAAATGTAATATGAAACTTACAACTAAGACGTTAAGGAAAAGTTTGGAAATAATCGATGGGGACTACGAGATAACACATTTATTTAAGTTTTAGACAGTACTACTTTATTTTATACTTTTTGAAACAATTGAAGATTTATAGGCCTTAAAAGTAAAAATTTGTACTTGCGTCACTTTTCTTCCGGAGAAGCGATTTGACGTTTCTCTTGAGTGAAAATATTAAAAGAACTTAAAACGAAGTTATATATTCACGATTGAAGTTACATAAAGGGAAAGAACGTAAACTCATTTCTATTCAAATTACTTAGGGCGTGAAAGGTAGATTCAAACTGTTAGCTATCTTCGACAATCTTGTTAAGGACCTAGCCTATGGTGTGAAAGGTAGTTCACTTAGGTCTGTTTATCTAACCCAGCGGTTCAACCATTTATATAATGTCCAAGAAAATAAAAAATGTTTATAACATTACCCACAAAATTTAAGCCATATTCAAGCTGCCGAGCTAGAAATAGTTTTTGAACCATAAAATGATGAAATGGTAAAAAAGGAAGGACGAGATAATACGTTTCAATTATTAAAAAACATTTTACAGAAATTAAAGATATTTTTAATTAAAGATCAGTTCCAAAATAGTAGGCACTAAATTCTCAGAAACAATATTGCCTTAAATTGTAGACATTGTTATCAGATTGTGATTCTAGATATTTTAGCATTTTCTATTTTAATCATTCACATGCCTATAAATAGCCATGAAGTAACGGACAACGTGTTTTATTCTTCCTTTTAATGAAATCTATTCAGCAATATCAATGTCAATTAAAAAAATAAAAAAATGTGAATGATATTCTGCGTCTAAAACTTAAATGGCAACGTTGCGTACACATATATGTTTATGAGGCGGAGAAGAGAACATCAGATTAAAGTTGCCGTAAGGTAGAGAGAGATATACATATTAGCCCGAGCGGCTGTTCTTAGTATTCTGAAAAAATCAATTGGTGTAACATCTCCCAACATATTACAAAGGATGAACTTATCTAAGAGATGTTTGGTGGCTGAATGTCCAACAATTAATTACGTTAAGTTTAGGTTGGGTAGTTTGTAAAAAATCATTAAATCTTCTACACCTTCAAAAACAATTAATGTTTGTTTTATTAAATTATATACAAAATCATTATTTAAAATCAAAAACAGTCCAGCTAGGGCGCTTCAGTATGTATACATATAAAATGAACTACATGGGTATTTTGGAAACTGTTATGTAGAGATTCGGTTAAATGAATAAACATTTAATTAAATACGAAAATAAATCAAAACTCAAATATGATAGACGTAAAATACAATGAATTAAAACTTAAAGCCAATATCACATAAAATACCAACGACCGTTTCCCCTTCGAAAAACAACTACTACTTTGGCTAATAATTTAATTAAATGGTGTACTAATTTGTAAATGAAAATTATTGAATATATAATTCTACGTTGAAATAAGCTCTGCATTCCAAACATTGCTAAAAGCTGGTCTTGTGGATATCCCCTCTCGGGGTAGGTTCCATGAAAATAATAATGAAGACTCTTAATGAAACGTCGCTGAACCTTTTCTAAAGTTAAGACGTCCCTCATTATAATTAGGGGACCATATTACTGAGGCATATTCAAGTATTGAATAACAATTTGCAAGTATCTGGATTATTAAAAATCTTTGATAGACCGTAAGACGGAACCTAAAACTTTATAACACGATGCGACAGTTACGGCTAAATGATTAACGAATGATAATTTTGAATCAAATACAACGCCAAGGTCTTTAATCGCGTCAGGTCTCTGCAGGACGACTCCTCCTAACTGTAATCGTATCTTATACAATCAATCTTTCGCGTATATGACATAAGGTTTGTTCCAACATAAACCAAATCAGTTTGCGTACTGTCGGGATTCTGCGCAGTCTAGATTTTGTGTTGCAACAAACCTTAGACTCAAAACTGTACAAAAACATAGTGTTCCAACACCACCAAAACTAATCACAAACCGATTTGTGTACTGTCAAATCAGTTCCTGGGTCTGAATAGGAACGAATTGTCAAGACATGCGCAAAGCCGCAATAAACTGAACATTTCATGATTGTAATTATATTATTTGTATGACAGTTCTGATTTGTATTTGTTAATCGAGTTTAGTCTTCATAGTTTTTGTTTATTATCATTTATTTTATTTTGTGGTTTATTATTGTAATAGTACGTCTGTTGAATTTAAAAAATATGTTCCAACATAATCGAGTTCCGAGTTGAGTCCCAATTCCCGACCAATACTTGACAGGTTGTCAATTACTAGTCGTCGACAGATTGTCAATAATATGTTTTGGACTGGTTTACGTATTGCTCCAAGATCGTTGTTGGAACAAACCTATAACGTTGCATTTTGCAGAATTTAACATAAGGTTATTAATTATACACCAATTGTGAATTTTGTTTATATTGCATTGCAGTAACGTAGGGTCATTGATGTTATCAATCTTTGAAATAAGCTTCAGGTCATCAGCGTAGAGTAAATATTGTACATTTACATTATTACAAATATCGTTAATGAAGATTATAAAGCATCAAGGACCTAAAATGGAACCTTGTTATACACCGGAGATTTAACACCACTAATAAGGATATACTGGGAACGATTACTTAAATAGAAACTAAGGAGAGATAGTACATTGTCAGAAAAATTCAACATATTTAACTTGGCTAACAAAATTGGATGACTGAGGTGATTGAATGCTTTGGTGAAGTCAGTGTAGATCACATCTACCTGACCACCTCGGTCCAATATTTCGCTGATAAATTGGGTTTTAATAGCTACGTTAATAACGGCAGATCTCCCACGAACAAATCCGAGTTGTTCAGGTAAAACCGAGTTTTGGTTATGCCTGTAGAAAAATTTGGTAACAGTGATTTCGAATACTTTACTAAAATTGCAGATAATAGCGATTGGTCTATAATTTGTAATATCATTTCTGTTGCCCTTTTTGTGCACCGGGATAGTTTTTTGAAATTTTCCATTTCTCAGGAAAAAAAGAGGTGGATACTATCAGATTAAAAATAATACTAAGCAGCTTAGCAAAAACGAATAAGCCATCACTCACAAGAAACGCAGGAACATTATCTGGACCCATAGTCTTATTTGTCTTGATTCGTTTAATTGATTCAATTACGTCGTCCTCGGAGATCTTGGACATTACCAAAGCGTAGTTAGGAGAAATAACATCAAAGAAGGGGGATTAACATTTACCGGGTTGTCTAAAAATGAGTCACTAAAATAGTCGGCAAAAGCAGATGCAATAGCGGCACTAGTTTCTAAATCAATGCCATTATAACACATATTGGCTGGTAGTGAATTACATTTATTTTTAGAATTATAGAATGACCAAAAATTCTTATGGATTTATTTTTAGTTCAGCTTCAGCGTGGGCTAGATAGTTTTGATGGGCATATTATCAGCTTTAAAAACAGACCTCAAACGTCTGTATTCATTTATTTTTTAAATTCAGCTTGTGAATTAAAGGACCAGTAAACCAGATGGGGCATGTTTTATAACAAGGTTTCTTCTTTGGTACATGTTGATCAAGAACAATATACAATTGGTCATAAAATAGGCTCAGAGCTTTATTAACGTGTGAACTGTTAACGTAGAAATGTCCAGTCGACCAATAATAAGTCTCTATAAAGGGCAACAAAGTTGCTTTTATTTTTAATAAATGATTTTTAAATTATTTGCACTAGATTGATGTTTTTTGTTTTATTATCCAAGTTAACATTGACTTTGAATATCAATTCGGTTTTTCATGATTAACTTAGATATAGGCAACACATTATACACTACTTACGATAAATTTTCAGTTTTTATATCTTATTTCTTAAAATAATGTGATCATAGAAAAAATCGTGTGTGCATTTTGAGCAAAAAGTTCGTTGCAGCTTTCGGCAGATTGCCGCGCTCAGCTACGCGTCGCGCGACCAACTTTCTGTCTCAAGCGGCAAAGTCCCACTTTTCGCTCTTAATACACAAATAGCTATTAACATTTTAATCCTTGTTCATTTAGAAAATTAAACTGAAAATAGTATGAAATACAGCTCAGTTTTTCGCCCATGAATAATAATTACTATTAAACACTGAAAAAATTGCATGCTATGAGAAAAACGACTATTAAAATTCAATATAACCAAAAACGATCTTTGTTTAACAGGTTAGGAGAATCCAAAAGTATGGTGCAGTGGCAGCCATCATTCTAGACAACGTTCCCGGCAGTAGCGCCGCCAACTCTCCCATGTTTTCAATGTCAGGCGACGGTACTGATGATGTCAAAATACCAGCTGTGTTCCTATTTACTCATGAGGCTTCCAAACTTCTTCTAACTTTAAACAAGGATCCCGCAGCCGAATTAACCATTCGGGAACTGAAGGAATCCGATAATTTTTCTCAAAACGAAGAAGAAAGCATGTTTCAAAAGCTGAAAATATCCGTCCAAGAATTCATCAACAAGCACACAGGCTTGGGGTTTACTAAAATAGTGGAACTAGGAGGATTCAAAGCGATTGTAGGAAATAATAAAGTAAGAATTACGTATGAAGGTTCCCAAAACGAATATTCGGCTAGCAAAGAAAGCAATACCAATGATCAGTGGGTTAAAATCAGAAAAGGACTTCTGAAATCCTTGCTTACGTCGGAAAACAAAGAACTTCTAGTACCTCTGAACATTCTTAGGATATACCATCAGACGTTAAGCGAAGCTACCACCTCTAAGGAATCCTCGAAAAGCGACATCGTCAAACAAACCGAATGGCTTCTGGAAGAACTCGTCCGCGAGCACCAAAAGAAAGACGACGATTTGGTTCAAGTCGAAGTCGATCCAGGGATCAGCATCATCACTGACATGTCGGAAACTGACAAGGACGCATTGGTGAGCAACAATCAGAAGCGGATCAAATTGAAGGAGTTGAATTCGTTTTTGGAGGAAGTCAATCTGGATAATATCCACGACACTAAAGATTTTTTGGATAAAATTTTTAACAAACTAAAATTAGAAGTGTCTGATGAAATTATAGTGGGTGAAATAAAAAGCGAAAAAACTGAAACAGTGGGCGCGATTAAGGAAGGGAAAGTGAATAGTAATAAAAAAGTGAAGAAATCCCATGATGAATTATGATAAAAGTAAAATGATTTTGTTTTGTTTTTATTTTATTTTTGTTTCTATTTGTAAAGTGAGGCAATTTATTATTTTTTTTTTTCAAAATGTGTGATTTTTTATAAAAAAAAAATTAAATTTAGAGTATTTAATGTACAGGGTAATAAAAATATTTTTACATAATTCAGAAGAACTAATTTCTAATTTATTCGTTCTTGTACATTCCATTAAATGTTGATTTTCAAGCCTTGCAAGTAGAATACATTTAAAATGCCTTTTTTTGGTTTTTCCTATATTATTTATTTTTTAAATATATTTGCCGGAATTTAAAATGAATTTAATCTGGTGGTGATTCTTAATTATTTCCTATTGTGTGGGCAGCCACTTTGGATAAAGTGTTTTTTAAACTTGTTTGATTAATTTTTCTGGATCTTAAAACTTCTTTCTATACCTTTAATTTACTTTTTGTTCCTATGAGTCAATAATATGTCGCCAGCATACATTAATATAAGTCCAAAAAATAAAATAACCATTATATTTCTGTCTGAATTAAAACTTTGCACTGATCGTTTTGTTGAAAGTAAATAACGACTTTGTTCAATTTCTTACTCTTTACCTCACATTTAGTTTAGTTCCTAAAACTAACATTGTGAAAAATAATAGTGAACTCCTTTTTATTTCCTAATTCATTTTTTTTTATTTTTAATACACAAAACCAGCCTGATAAATTTTGACACATGTTTATCTGAGTAATTTGAAGTTTATGTCATTCAAGACAGATCATAATCTCAGGCTCTCTCAAAGTTTTTAATGAAAGTTCTTTTTTTAATTATTATTAAAGGAATTATTTACTAATTTGTATCATAGCAAGTAATGGAAGTAGTTAAGTATCGCCAAATATTTTGCAGAATGAGGTAAATGGTTATATTGTTTCTATTTATTTTTGTTTTTTTGCTAATGTGATATACTTTGCATATTGATGTTATTTGAAATTGGGTTATTAACAAATTAATATTTAATATGTAGCATATAGGTGATCTTATTTTATTGTATCGTGAAATGCAATAAACTGCAGCTACGGAAAACTTTTTTAAATTGATTTCTTAGAAAAACTGACCCCTAATAAAAGTTTGAGTTTCTCTTACAACTTCAGAATAACTTAATTAGAAAACAATGAACCAAATAAAATACTGTGAATTGGGCCAAAAAGTAAAGTACACCTATTAAAAGGAGTGTTCAATAAGTCCTTAGAAAAAGATAAAAAACAAATTATTTTAGGTAGATTTTTAATTGTTCAATATTTTTTAATTTTGGGAATAAAAAAGTCACTGGGGGCCAAATACGGTGAATCGCTTGGATGTTGTAATAATTCGCACTTAATTTCCATGAAAAGGTTAAGGGCTATCTACCTGTGTTATGTTGGGATTGGGGTGTTAAGATCTATTGTGCCCCCTTCTGTAACTAATGCAGCAAGAAAATTACTTGATGCCTACAACGACCCTTCCGATCCTATCTTCTCCAGGAAGTGTAGGGTTTGGAGTGACTTCAAGTTAGGTAAATCTCTCTCTTCTATTTGATATGTTCTTAGGTCTAGTGCCCTTGGATTCTAGAGTGCTACATTTTTAGTCAGAATGTGAATGGAGGTTTCGTCCTCCTCCTCACAGGATCTGCACTCACTATCTTCTTCTACTCTCAGTTTACTAAGGTGTCCTTTGAGTCGGCAATGCTCAGGCAGATACAGGCTTTTGATATTGTCCGATTTAAAATAATTTGTTTTTTTTTTTCCTTTAGCAGAGTGTAACATCGACTTTAACATGTGGAATGAGTTTTACGACGGATCCTAAACCCATGAAATTATTTTTAGCTAAAATATTGCAGTTAATTTAGTTTATTATGCTCATTTTTCCATTAACTGAAAAATGTTACGAAATTGCTTGTTTTCTCGATGCAAATTTAATATCTCTACCACTTGCATGGTATACTTTTTTGTTATGCAGTTTTAGGCAAGCTGCTTCAACTTTTATTAGGAACTTTTTTTTCTGAGAAAAGAAAACGTTTTCCACATGGTGCCAAGTTTGTATTTCTCAGTTGTTAATAACCAATGTTGAAAAATATGCAATGTGTTTGTGAATAAGGCCGACAGTGCTCTACACCAAAAAAATAGGGTATATATTTTCTAAAATGATTGAAATATGAAAAACCGGATACAATATGAATTGTTTAAATATTTTCTAAATGCCAAGTTAGTCATGTCTTAAGTTGTTTTAGGTTCAGTTACATTGCTAGTCCTTAAGACATAAGTTAAACTTAACCTTTTAAGCTTAGCTTATTTCTTAAGGACTAGTAGTGGAAATGGCTTTTAATAAAAGAAATAATAAGTTCCTTTGTTAAAAACGAGAAATAAATGAATTAAAATTGATTATGAAACAATGTAATTGTGTTACTAAATTATTAAAAAAAAACGGGAGTTAAATTTGAAATTTAAATACAATATTTATGTGAAATTGATCTTAAAATAGTAATTTAATGAACACCACAAGTTTGTTGAAATATTTTTCTGTCGATCCAGTGGAAATCATATTTTATTCAATTTAATAAGAATTCAATTGATGGAAAAATTAATTAATTCGTTTAGGTATTAAAAGTATATTAACAATCTCGACTTCGATCATTAATCGCTCTTAGTAATATACTTGTTCATTAAATACATATTTTTATTGACTGTAATTATGAGTTTGTTTAGTACAAAAAATCGTTCATTAATGACCATTATTAATAAAAGATTTATAGTTTCGACAAACAGATGTACATAAAATAAAAATTTTAAGATCTGTCACTGTCATACTTATTTTGTCAACTTTTTATCAATACAGTACATTCTCCAAATCACCTCCTGTTATATAATAGCTTCGTTCGCGGTAACAATTCTGAACTGATTCAGAATTCATACTTTGAGCGCATACCCGATTCTATATCAATTCTGAATTTTTGCAGCGCGCGCATTCCCTATTATATCTCGGTGTTTCAGGTATAATATAAGCGATTCAAAACCAATAAGTTACCGCGAACGCAAGATAGAACCAATGATTCAGTTCTTTTTGTCCCGCGAATGCTTTTTAACCACTGTGCATGCGAAATCATTACTGTTAGTTATAATTCGGTTCAGGATTCTTGCCGCGAACGAAGCTAATTTAAAAAAAAAATTGATTCCTTCTAAAAGCCCCTTTACAGTTCGCAATTCTTCTTGTTGCAAGTAAAATTGTAACAAGTTTTCTTGCTGCAAGAAATATTGTTGGCTGTATTACACTTCGCAATTCATTGCAAAACATTCGCCAACTTAACTCACTAAACAGGTACACCAACTTTCAACTTAGTTATAGTTAATGACTATTACTAGTAGAGTATAGCCGAGTTCCCCACTTTCAGATGCAGGTTGTTTTTTTAAGTCTATTCACTCAAAAACTGTTGGAAACAACAAAATATTAATAATTCGATGTTTGTACAAGTTCGTACAGATGGATACGTCATCAAATTATGGAAAACATGCCATGACAACAATAATAAATGAAACACATTAATTATAATTCTTTCATTCTTCCACATTCCAGTGAGATAATTTGCGTAACATAACACAAAAGCTGTGTTAAATGCTAGAAATGGGTAATCTAGTGATTTTCAAACTAGTTGGCCGCACTTATATCCGCCAATGAATTTTCAGTCCGTCGCTATTTCTGCAATTGTAACAGCTGATCAAAAGAACGCTCCAGACATGCAGTACGAATAGCCGCAATTTTCCTTGCAAGCAAGGAACATTGAGAAGTGTAAAGTGGCTCTAAGTTTGACAGTGACAGAATTTGATTATTTTAATTTTACATATTGATATGGAAACTTCTCTCAATTTCTATAATTTCCCATAATACATACTTTCAATACAGTGTGGTTTCAATTTACTAAAAATGTTACTATACTAGTTAAATATAATAAACATATTACTATATTACAAAATTTAATAAAAAATAACTTCTCTTCTGTGTGGCCTGCTCCTCTCTGACTCTGTACTAGGCATTCCAACGACTTGTCCATATGACTGTTGGAAGGGCTTTGACAGAGTCAACGATATATATAGTGAATAGTTCCACCCTGTATAAGGTAGAACTATTCCAATATTTAAGAGCACTAAGAGTTGTGGCTGCAATGGCTTCCTACAATAATTTAATACTTAAGTGTTTTGAAAAACATTATCAATCTATATATCATTGACCCTGTCAAAGGCCTTGGGCAGCCATTATGTTTGGAATTCATAAGTTCTTCTTGCTGGTTTCTGCACTACCTTTGTCTTTATTTCTACTCGTCACTGCTGTGCTGTATTTCTGTCTACCTTTTGTTTGCGTCCGCCCTGCTTAAGTTTCTGCATTATTTCTGTATTATTTTGGAAAATAAAACTCGTAATACCTTGCTTTTTGAATTTTCTTTATTTTATTCTCCAACAAATCCACAATTACAATCAAAACTTTCCTCCCCATAATTTTTAATTTTTCTAATAATCAATTTTTTTCACCATCTGAGTTCGGTATTGCACTTATTTCTCCTCAATTCAATCTGTTGCTTCGAAAACTGTTGGGTATTGCCCCTTTTTGTGCTCTATTATATCCTATCTACTTTCAAAAATAAAGATTTAGGAGAAAAGGAGCACATCAAATCTCCTACGTATTTGAAAACAAAGGGAGCAATTTCTTAGTGACATATGTCATATTTTATTTTCATCATTAAAAGTCGAATGTACCATGATGCCGAGTTAGTACCTATGCAGATGGCTGTGAAACTAATAATACAGGATACGAAGTAAGGTCGACCTTCGCCCATCTGTTTACCGGATGACAGTTATTTTTTATTAAATAAAATATGTTAATAATATAAATATACCGCAAAAGGGTTGTCTAAAAAAATACTGTCACGGCTTTTTTTTTACTTCCCTTTCTGTAGAAAAACACAAATTTTAAACTTAAGCTTTAATCCATCATGCAGTGAGATGATTAAATTTTGGGCATAGTCGAAACATCTGGGGAATACTTTATAAGGTGTCGCTTTTTTTTACTTTAAGAAAATAAATAGTCTTGATAGTATTTTCTATTTGCGGTATATTTATAAACATATTT